GAAGTTTGAATAACTGTTAATGAAAGTTTAAGTTACAAAATTTGAAGGTAAACAAAACAAAAAATATATGTTGCCTGTAACTCAAAGTTTGGTTAACTGTTATTAAAAGTTCGAGTTACTGAACGTGGACGTTGAAAAAAACCCAAAATGTATGTTGCCCGTAACTCAAAGTTCTGTTTACTGGTAATTGAACATCGAGTTACAATTTGGGCATAGTTTCACAAAAGTGGGCGTGGTTTCAGAAATATGGGCGTGGTCATTTCTGTAACTCAATGTTCGTAACTTGAACAATTCAGCATCTCCCATTTTCATACAAAATCTAAATGGTGACTAATTACCACAACAGGATTGTAGAATGACTAAAACATTATTTAAAAAAAAATGGAATCAATATTATTTACATTATTCAACAAATTAGTGCCTGTCATTTCCACAAGAGCAGAGGTTGCTGGGTTTCATATATAAGGGCTGTAAGAACTTCTAGATGCACAATAAATGTATTGTGATAATGTCAACTATACATTCATCATTACTCTATTACTGACTATTAAAACCAACCATACGTAAGGTATATTTTTCAACTTGTATAGTGAATAATATATTATATTAAATTAATTTGTTCACTATATGTACAATAAAATTCCCATGCAGTCACATCACACTTACTGAAGGATACAGACTCACAATCCACGCAGTAATGCTTTCAAATGGTTTTGGTTGTTCTGTAAGTATAAAAGAGAGACCATTGTGTTTTTAATATTCCATAAGCCCAATATATCTTTTAAAGTTTGTTCATCGGTTACAAAGTGGCAATTGCTTTAATGAGGGATTTGGTAGCAGCTGAATGCCATATCATGTCACTTAATTGTATTTTGATGATTTCAATTATTAAATTTCATACATCAGAAAGGTTTCAGGGTTGGATCATGAGATGAATCAGAAAAAAGAAATTTGTTCTGTATCTCAATCCAATATTTTTTAATTTCATTAATCAAATAAAGTTTGCAGATTAAATCTGTTTGCACATGCATGGTCATGTTTTGTCTGCATGTACACATGTATATGCCAAATTTAATTTGGTGTTTCCGTTGATGTGTTATACTATAATTTAATTTTATAGAATATGGTGTGAATGTTCTGGATCAGCCAGGAATAGCATGTGTTACTTTTGCAAAATTTGGTTGTGAAGACTTTTAAAGACCATTATTCTGTACAAGATAGGAGTTCACCATGCTAGCTATGTCGGTACACCTGGTAACATGACACTACATGCACATACAAACAACCATCAGTTTTAGGTTTATTGTAACAAATAGTATTGTTGTGAAAGTATTCTTTATAATTTAACATACCATTATTTTGATTTATGTTGAATAGTTATCACTTTGATTGTTTAATGTTTGGTTGATATTATGTATACATACATTACATATCTTTGTGCATATTAAATGTTTATATATAATTTAACATGTCCCTTACTTCAGTGTATCAACTGGTCTATATATTAATTTAATATTAATGTGTACATTACCTTTTATTTTTTTCAGTTTTTCAATTTCAGTTTTGAGATCCACTACTTTTTGCTGAGATACTTCTGCTATTTCTTTAGTTTTATTCCATAACTTTTCAATTCCCCTTAGTTCTTTTGCCATGCTGCGACTTTCATACTTCTCAAGGTATGTTTGCCAAGTGGTTTCATATTGTGTCAAAAGCACATCATATTCAGATCTAAAAATATACAAAAATTATATTTCAATTTACATCAGATATCATTACCAGTGATATTATTCTAATAATTGACTTGGTGATTTTTTTTGCCTGTTATCAACAAGCATTTACTCGAAAGACATTGCTCAACAAAGTCATAGATAAAGATAAATTGCAGTAGATGTTCTGCAAATTAAACATTTGTTGTCAAATGAAATCATTGAACATGAAATTGGTGTGGTGAGTATGATAACATCAGGGGTATTACAGTTATTGCTGGTGGTATGACAGCCAATAAAATTAAGGCATTCATGTCTTAATAACTATCTATTATGACAGACACTCATATGACAAATGGTCCGCCATTTTGAATCGTTTCTGAAGAAAAATATCCCATCCTCATTTATCGTCAAGTCCTGAACTAAGCTAATCTGTTGATTTTCTTATCTCTTTTTTGAGTGCTCATTTTTTTCATACGCAAGTGTTGAATTTTTTTTTTTTTTTTTTAAACCATTACCATTTTCACTGTGAGATGTGCGAGTGTTTTAAAGAAATAGAGAGACTTAGATATTTTGTGTTGCCATTCAACCAACTTAAATAAAGTATATCCATGCAAGACCAAGATCCAGTTCCGGTATACCAGAAATAATTGATTTTGATGATTTTTTAGACCTAAAATTGCTGTCATTTGGTCATCTCTTGAATTGAATCATGAAACAAATGCATGTGCTTATGATGTGTGATGTATGTGTAAAGTTTGAATGTGATTAGTCAAAGCATGTCAGAAGAGCAAACAGACAGACGAATGTAAGGTCTAAGTGAAATTACAAGTCCTTTTTTTTTTACTGAATGGGGCACATAAATTTATGTACCCCAGTACATTGGTAGTGAGATTTCGGGTACCAATGCTGAAGAACACTCATCTATTATAATTTTGTTAAAAGCTATTTTCATAAAACACATGTGCCAGTACTTCTAATAGAGTAAATATGGTATTCTGCAGTTCCCATGTACACTGTAAATACATCAGTTTTCCTACATACTTTTCCTGCTGCCATTTGACAGTCTGAAATTCCAGTTTTTTTTTCATAGCTTCTTCATGTTCTTGTTGTACCAGCTGGGTCTTCTTCATGCTGAAAAACAGTAAGAATGAAGAATGATTCAGGAGAAATGTTCATACTCTACATCAATTAAACTTTATTTACTTCCTCTATATTTTGCTGACTCAGAAAAATTCGGCAGCTTGTGAGAAATCAGCGAAAACAACAAGACCTTGTTGTGCAAAACTAGTATACATTTACTTAAATGAGTCATCCATTTTGAATCAGAACTTGTCACAGGTGAAAATACAAGTCTCTGTTTTGTACCTCATCTGAATTATGACTAATAAACTAATCGCACAAGGGTTTTTGAAAGATGTATTTTTTACCAAAAATAAAGCAAATATATTGCTAATTGATGATAATGTTTGAACAGAAACTTATATAAACTGATAAAACACAAATTTGTAATATTTATAAATATCCCCTATAATGGTATTATCTCATAATATCATGTACAAATTAAAATGAAAATGTTATTGAATTTCAGAACAAAATTCACAATCAAGAAATAGGGAAACAATTTGATCTGTTTTTTTTCTGAGTTTCCATAATAAGCATTTTGTCTGGGACATTGTTGAATATATCATTATCACATGAGTATGCAATCATTCACTGTTGTGATATTTAGTGTAAAATATCACCAGCTGTTATGGTATGTATCTTCAGAAGTCAAACATCATTATTTTATGGGTGTTCAAAGAGTACAAGAAAATTAAATCATGCAGTGATACTGTATTTATGTAAGCAATATTCAAGTTTAAGACTGAATAACAGCATACAATTACTCAAATTGTACAATAACAATAAATATAATATATAATAATAATAATAACTAAAAATATCTGAATAATCACTACAGCTATATATAGGTAGCTATATAAAAAATGCAATACTATAGCTAGTTACCATAGCAATTAACTTGCATACCTTTCAAAGTTTGTTCTATTTTGTTTGAACTGTCTGTAAACTCTTTTTGTTTCATCATCAAGTTGGGTTGTAGATTCACGCAGTCTTTGAATATCATCATATTTAAACTGAATGTCATTTTCAAGAGCTATGAATACAAAAGAAATATACAGGTGAAGTGAGTTTAATATATATACCATATATATATGTTTCCATCAACCCCTTGAATACTAATTTGTCAAATCTGTCATTTTCAAGAAATAAACCTGCATAATTTTTTCCATAATTTTTCAAAAATATTCAAATCACAAAGAAATTATAAACAAGCCATGTATAGCACAAATCTCTTCAGTTATCAAATTTAAGATATATAGTTTTGTTTATAGTATTATACATATGTATTTTTGAAAATAAAAATGTCTAGAGATATTGATCCAGATTTTCAACTTTAAAATGATTGAAATTTAGTCATCTTGATCTGATCATCAAATGAGTACTTGTCCATATTGTGAGAAATTGCTCTGGAAAAGCATTAATTAAAACAAAATGGCCACCGGTCGGCCATTTTGAATTACATCGTCAAAACAATACAATCTATGGCACTAGAACCTCATTCATTAAAACAAAATAGCCGCCAGTCAGCCAAAACAAAATAATATGTCCAATGTATGTATAAAATCCATCTGTAAACAGACAAGAAATGTTTGATTTCAATGATTTTTCAGCACAAAAATGGCCACCATTGGGTCATCATGAATCAGATCATGAAACAAATTGATGTGCACATGTATAATATTATGTATGATGTATATGTGAAGTTTAAATGTAATCGGTCCATGCATGTCTAAGATATAGGTATAGACAAACACACACACAAATGAAGATATCATCACGAAATAAACAAATCTGAGATCGATCCACCTGAGGTACCTATATGTATAATATCAAATCAAACGAACTTGCAGTTTTCAATAAGAATTTGAAAATATCCCTTTTTACCAAAAATGACAAAACTATTTATTAAAATTAGATACTTAAAAGATATCATCATGAAATGAACAAATCCAAGTGAGATCCATCTAAGGTACCTATATGTTCAATATCATTTAGCAATTGGACTTGTGGTTTTCAACAAGAAGTCGAAAATATCACTTTTTACCAAAAAGATATCATCACAAAACGAACCATTCTGAGAGAGGTCCACCTGAAGTACCTATGTGTACAGTATAATTTCAAAGCAATTAGACTTGTGGTTTTCAGAAGAAATAATTGAAGATCACACCACGAAATGAACAAATCTGACAAAGTTCCATCTGCAGTAATGTATATGTATGATATCAAAGCAATCAGACTTGCAGGTGTTACACTGTGACAAAGAAGTTGAAAATATTACTTTTTATCAAAAGTGACAAAAAATATTCATCAAAATTAGAGAATTAAAGATATCACAAAATGAACAAATGTAAAAAAGGTTTACCCAAGGTACATTTACACCAAGTATCATAGCAATCAGGCTTGTTGTTTTTAAGAAGTCGAAAAAGTGATCTAACAGTTGTAGCTCCGCTGTCCTACAAGAACATTGTGGTAGCCAAGTCAAGCAACGTACACCCATAAGATAGTTCTGGCTGTTGAGAACATGTCAACTTAACTTAATCAAACAAATTGTTGACAAAAATAATGTACACCTCAAATATCAAAGCTATCGTGTTGGTAATGTTCAAGAGGAATTCGCAAATATCAATTTTTATTAAAAATAACAAAAATATTTGCCAAAAATAGAGAATTGATGATATCGTCATGAAATGAACAAATCTGGTCCACCTAATTGCAAATTATTTTTGGCTATAGCGTAATATTTTCATATTTTTTTACGGATATATTGGGAGTTGAAAAACTATGTTGCAGTCATATTTTATTCTGTGAAATACACACATACAATCTCTATTTCAGTCAATTTTCTCTGAAATATCATCTTTTTCAACTGAAAATCCATGTTTCTCAGCTGTCTTAATTAGTTCTTCTAGCTGCCCGCATTTGTACCCACCCACACTCACTCTGCTATCTTTAAAAAACTAAGTAAAATATGCCACCGACTTCTTCCAGGTTGCATGTCTGCCGGTGCTCTTTTGAATTTTTATATTTTTGTCCTACCCTCGCCCGTTGCTAGGTTGGTTATGGATGCTCAAATAGAATAGCATCGTGTCTGACGGTAATTCGGGAATTGTTGACAGACGACAAATATCGGACAGGCATCTATATGAACAGCTCTGCTCTGTCGTCTACAATGATAACGGAGCTTAAAATGGAAATAAATAATAATTAAATATAACTGGTAGCATAGTGGTTGTCGCTCCAAACTCATGATCGGTACCGGTAGACCCAAATTCAAATCCTACCTTAGGCTGAACATCAAAGGGTCAACCCCTACCCTGGGTGAGTGTGCCACAGACTCAATGGGAAGGCCAATTCCACTGGCTGAGATTCATTCACTAACGAATGCGACTTTGGGGGAACCTTTGTTAAGGTCCGCAGGTGCTTGTGTTCGACCGAGCCTGGTTGATGCCAGGATAGCGCATTAAAATTGCCATTTGACAGAGAGATGGCCACACAGCCCTGTCATGTAGTCCCAAACATGAATATGACTTCTGTGGCAAAATGCACTATGTGTCAGCACTAGCACTTGCAATTTGCACATACAAAAAAAAAGTCAGGAGAGACAACGGTGACATTCAATGTCCAGAACTGTCGCCTGGCACAAAAATAATTTAAAAAAAAAATAAAAATATAATGTTTAAGCCATTGCTGCAATTAGTAAATTCTTGAATATAGAATTGAGTCAACCTCTTAGATGCGACTTCTGAACCTCATCATTTTAAAATATCCACTCCACTACAATGAAGACCAAGTCAAAATAGTTTTCATGTGAATAAAAATATGAATCATACTTACCCTGTATATGCTGGTTTTCTTTATCAATAAGCACCAACTGCTGCTCATTTTCAAATTCTAAAAAAATATTAAAACAAGTCATCATTACTGACATAATATTGTATTGTATCTAAGTCAATAAATGAATTTTGAACTCCCTAGTTGCTACTATAAATTGAGACAGAAAATTTGAGATAATAATATAATTTTAACAAATAGTTACTAGTATAAATAATATATTATAAATATTATTTATCTTGACTCCACGAAGCACATGTATTTACCTAACTTCTTGAGCAATTTCTGGAGTTCTTCGGGCCCAGTGTCTGCAAAATTATACTGACTAGTCACTTGAGCGGCCATGATAATATTCGAGTTCTTTCCCCTAATTTAAAGAATTTAAAACAAAAATACAGTGCCGTATCATATCATATCATATCATATCATATCTGAGCCCGCAATTATATAGGGTTAAGTGAATAAGATACTCATAACACCTGTTATAATAATTATCAATAGAGTGAACAGTACCAAGATTCGAAACAGTCCATGAGTGTACATTGACTCTTGACAGGAGAAAAATAACTCGTGACCATTAATCAACCGTTGAAATGATAATCCTTGGAAGACATTAGAATTAACAACCTCAAGATACTCACGGTGCATTCATCAACAGAATAACTTCCCCCAAAGTACTACTATCCTGTACAGTACAACAGATTCTACGACAAACCAGGATTTTCTGAAAGCTAATATTAGGATGTCGTCTGCTTAGAGACACAGCTGGTGGTCACGTGACTGAGTCTTACGAATCTCAAAGTCTCAACTAATTTCTGTCGTTGGTGGCGTGGTCCACAAGTCTCCAAATAACAATCTCTCTTACAATCAGCGTATGGTGTGCCATTAGAGCTATAATTAAAACTCAGACAACTAATAAAATAATTTATTAGTTGTCTGAGATTAAAATTATGACGCATTGAAATATAATTCATGAGCAGTTAAATTTAAAATATGAAAAACGGATGTTAAACTATGAGCATTGAAGTTCAAATTATGAGCATTTTATAAATATGAAATACATATGTTAAAATATGAGCATTTAAATTAAAAAATACGAGTATTTAACTTTAAAAGAAATTAAATTATAAATATGAAGCTTGGACGTTAAAGGGTCAAGCTATTGCGATGATTTGAACAAATTTGAACATAGCAGATTTGCACATAGAAAGTTGGTGGCGCTCTACTGCACATATGTATAGGCAAATCAATCTGATTCAAATGTATTGTACGGCGTGTATTTTATTTTATATATTTATTTTTACTTTTACTATTCTTTTTAAATATTTCATGATTCAGTATATTTTTACTATCAATCTAAATGTTACTACAAATCAAATACGCAATAGTTGCATTCAAATAAATTCTTTACCCCAAGAAGTTAAAAATTTGCAGTTGTATTTTTGTGTCAATCGTAGCAGCCACCTCCACCACCCCCTGAAATAATTCCTGCTGGTCAGGGCTTCGCGATCGGCAGTCAACCGCATATTTAGATCGCCACAGCAATGATGATATAGATGGTACATGTCTGGTAGTGTTTTGTGCAACTTACAACAACAAAAAATATATGGCCAAGAACACATCAATGAAAGGAAAAATTAAATAAATTGTCCGTCGCAGTACACGACAGAACATGATTTTTTAGCCTTCAAAGGCAATTGAAAAAATTGATCCGAGTATCTAACCACCTTTTCCGGGTATTTTCCCTGGCCAAACTTTGATTGAGATGATTGTCTTCAAAACGAAACTCATGCGACGCAACACAATCTTTTTTTCTTGTACAATACATTGCAACTGTACGGTTAATTATTCCCTCTGATGAGTACGCCGTCGGCCAATATAAAGGGCTAGCTGTGATTGGCTGCGTAGTTTATACGAGTTTTGAATGGGATATATATATATATATGCATTGGGTCAGATCCTTGTTTTGGCATTCACAATTACCAAAACTTTAAAAAAAAACTATCAACAAATAAATAATAGATCTAAATAAAATAAAATAAAAAATGAAAAAAGCCAAAACTAGAGTCTTATTTTAATGAGATTGATAGACAAATATACTTCTGCCTTTTTAGCTAAACAATGACCGAACATTGTTGTGTTTCTCATGTGCAGCGGACGGCTGTTATACTATACATGTTCGTGTAATATTGGTAGCACCTACTTTCGGCTTGAAAGAATCAGGCATTTATGCTTTTGTAGTGAGTGAAACCATATCAAAACGAGAGCTGAAGGTTTCACTTCCGGTCGGGTTTCACATCCGTGTTGGAGTGTATATGTGTCCGCGTCATACGTGTGTACAATACAACCCAAACAACGATTCTCAAACCTCGGGGTAGGTGAGCTCTGCAGCTGAGTGGGTGAGGCGAATTTGCAGACAAAATCATCCAGGCAACGACGTGTGAACTCGCCCAACGGACTTGGGTATGGATCCCGTCTATTCTATGGTAGCCGTCTGGATTATTGAAAACGAAAAACAAAACGAAGTGAAGGAAACAATAATTTGCGCAGTTTTTCTCCAGTCTGACATCGCTTTCCCCGTAATTGCTAGTGGCCCATCCCTTATTTGATGATGAACATGACGACCATGGTTATAACGGTCACATGTAGCCCAATTATTCCCAAATGCAGTTCGATACTAGAGAATGGTACTAATGTATCGATACTAGACAAATATTGTTTTAAGGATCCTGTTATTTCAAATCTCCAAAACTCTCGGCAAATACTGCCGGATATTGCCTTGCCTAGTACCGAAGTTAGAGTATAGTTCATCAATGTCATTGTTTGAAATTTCCTACCCTCCCCCTTTCCGGGAGGGAGGAGGGATGCTCACCCGCAGCCAGTTAAAAACTTTGCCAGAAAAGATCGAATCAGAGAGCGTCTTTTTGAAAAAAAAAAAAAAAAGCCTTATTCGCCCCAAAATGCCTTAATCTGTCGGGGCCTGTTAGAAAGTAAATAGCCATGCATTACAGATTAGTCACGTATTTCCATTCCATGCACATCAAATCAATCTGTATAATAAAAGGAAACGACCACGAAGGTCTGAATAATGTCTAGTCTCTTTAATCACGAATTTTATCTAGATCTGAGAAGTGAGTGAGAATCTAAAATATCAGCAGTTCTTACTGTTAGTAACACTAAAATGTTACCAGACCAACATGTACGTTTTTTATTGTTGCTAGCCGGACTGGAAAATTGTGTCAACGCATTGTCACCCGCCATATAAAATGGTTCAACATGATGGTGACTCGCGATTCAAAACCGCAGGGTCCTTCGATGTGGGAAACATATACTGTGGGGGAACCCTGCAGGAACGAATATGTATATCTTGACCAGAAATAAGACCGATATTTATACCTAAAATCCAAAAAACGAGATCCATTTCAGGGGCAAGTCCCCATTAGGCAAGGTGTATGTATTCCCCCCCCCCCGGGCCTTTCGGTGGCATATTGCGTGCCGTACACGAAGAAATTGCCAGCATTTGAGATGAAGTGTTACAGACGGTTGCTGGATATTTCGTGATGGAAAGAGAAGAAGACAAATGAATATGTGCTGCAGTTGTTCACGGAAAATTTAGGTGGGCAGAAAATGGAGACAGTGGTTGATATGGAGTGTTTATAATGCATTTGCATATCATGTTCACAAGAGCGTTATGCTCAAATTCGTTATGTTCAAACTTACAGTGTACACTGAATGATAACAAATATTTATCGTCCATTTCTCATATTTTAAAGTTACCTCTCATATTTTAAATTTAAATGATAATATTTTAACATCTGCTACTCCTATTTTAAATTTAAAATCTTATATTTCAATGTGTTACGCCCCCAATGACACCATTCGCGTGTTCAGTGGATGTGTCGAGAATGACAAAACATGTCACCACATGTGGCGCTCTTCAACATCGTCAAACGAGTGGTTTGACTCGCAAGGCATTCAGAACCAATATCATAACAAGTAACTTGCAGAAATCAAAACAACCAAATGAACAAAATAATATTTATCACAATAACATTGCAACTTAACGGAATTAAGCGTTTTAAAATGACGTCATGTCAAAGTATGACCAATTTGAGATCGGAAGCATACGTCAGGAACTAGTAGCCAATAGGATGTAACAATCGTGTGTATAAAAAACGCCCTCATTTGGCACCAAAAGTCATTTCTGAAGCACAATCCGTGAGCAGAATACACGATGAGGTAAGCTCGGCGCCGTGGGAAAACACAAAACCACCGTATCTAACATTGCTCGCCATTTCTTTAAAAACTGACAAATCGTCGATAGTTGGGTTGATCAATACAGTTTTATCAATTTATTATGAGTTGTCCTTTGTTTCAAGTAGTTATTTGCTGATAGTTGCCCTTTGAACGAACGAACACACGTATTAGAAATATAAAATCAGCGGGTGGGAGTAGTTTGATCGCTACAGTTTAATATTAATCCCTTAAATTCTCATTCAATAATATGGCACTCTTTGCTGTTTTTTTTTCAGGAAAGAGACTTTATTTTGTATGTTGATGGTGTTCACGGTATTATGTCTAATCGGCAACACTAGTAAGTTCCGTTAAATTTGGGCACAGTCCCTCTGTTAAGTTTGGGCATCTCTTTTTCGGGGAATGGCGTTGGTCGTTGTCCCGTGCAAGAGTAAACCGACATTGAGTCTGAGACCAATCTGGTTGAAATATCCGTACACCGACTGGCGTCCGACCAAAATTACAGAAGGGACAACAGTAAAAGCGACCGAGGCCCTTACATACATCGGAGAGTTTCATTTCCACATTCTGTTGCGCCGTAAATACTGTCGTCATATTTCCGCGATGAACACATCCGTGGAATGAATGTACAGCATAACAACCACAGCACAGTGTGTGACTCATATTTAATACATGTACTTATATCTTTTTCCAGATGCACAGAATAATACTACCACCGTTGAACCAGGTACCACAGAGCAAAATAATGACACGGTGGTAGTGCAGACGACAATGGCGAGCGGGAATTCAACCGAAGGTACTGTGAAATTTAATTTGTATTTCGGTTGTGACAAATTGCCTCAGTCCAGGGTTAAACATTTTTGATCAGTGATGAGAACAATAAATACATTTCCATTCATATATTACAGCGAAAAATTAAAAAAAAAATACAATGTCATATATAACTAACTTTATATCACAATGAATATCACTGTTTCAGTGTGTTTTTTTCATGGAAATTTATTAATATTAACTCTGGAAGACCTCCGCGTCAAAGAACACGCTTTCATTGCACTAAGCACACGTGGATGCGTTGTAATTAGTCATTTTTTTCCCAACCAGCCACCATTTGAAATTTTTAAAGCATTCATAAATATTTCATATAAACACATTCGTGTCTTCATGAAATTCACTGTATGTATACTAATTTTTTTTATCACATTGCCATTCAGGTTCTGCCGGGAGCCACTACGTTGCGTTACCACTCGTCATTTTATCACTGTTAACACTTCTTCCATAAGGTAAGCGAGGCGGGGCAATATCATATAAAAAACGTGAAATATTGATTCACAGTCGTGTAGTCCTTTGTTACAAATAGTTTTAATTGATACTTAATAATTTACTTGACTCTTTATATTACAGTGTCCAGCAGCTAGAAAATGATCTGTGTAAAGATGATCTACTGCCAGCGTGAAACCAAAGAATCTTGCAAGTACAAACTACAGCGACTTTGAATGAAGACATTTACTTACTAGATTCTTCTTTTTTTCTTCTCACACCCTAAAGTATTTCCTCAAAATATATTGTAAACCGTTTAATTTTCACTGCCAGAAATGTTTGCGATTTGTGAAACTTATGGCATTCCTGAAGACAAAATTTCGCGAAAGTCATTGAAGCTTCGCGTCGTGAGACATCGAAGAAATTTTCACTGCTAAAAAATTTCGTGATTTCCACTGATTTGCGAAAAATTGTCTTTTGCAAATATGAAGCAGTTTAACAGTACACAATATCACCACGCCCTAAATTTAAGGTTTTGTTATACTAAACGTCCCGTTGTCCGGGTGTGCACTCTTCCGTTGAACACAAAATAAGACTATATTTGGAGAAAAGTACTACCTCTTTGTTAAACCCACTTTCAGAAAATCAATAATAAAATACTCTTCATAGATATCTCTATGACGAAGATGTTTTGGACTGAATACTAAAATAAGTTGTACGTTCTATGACTGCTATTCTGTTTTGATTTTCTTTTGTAAATTCGCAGGAAATTTATTTCTGACCCTACATTTTGTAGCACGTCGCCCATAATGCCGTGCGTAACTGTGGCCAAGTAACAGTGAATCTCGAAACGCAGTCGAAAACATACGATTATTCTCAGATTGTTTACAAACTGATATTTGTAAATCGGTTATTTTGCTATTTGTAATTACTTGTTTTTGTCCTTTGAAGTTCGGATCTAGATTAATAATATAATGTATACTGGAGGGAATACATAATTAATATAACAATAAATAGAAAATGCGTGCTGATTTTATGACTGCTTATATAGGGGTATGACGGTACCTACGAATAAGGGACGTGACACTGGGCAATGTAAAGCCCCAATGATTTCGGACCCGATATTTCCCTATATAGGACGAGGCCCATGTATCAAGACGTATTTTATTATTGTATTACTAGTAAATGGTGCAAATATGTTTTTTGTTCAGACGTTACCCTGGCTCAATGAGGATCATTTCAAAAATACACACAAGACATTGCAATCGTCTTTGTATTGTTACAATGTTAGAAATAAAATTCAAGAAAAGTACAGTGTATAGCGATGTGTTATTTTATGGTACGTACCGAATGTTATTTGTGTGATTAGTATGATGAATGAAAACTGTCAAGATTCGGGAGAGGATCGAAGATATTTTCAAGAACCCCTCCAAAAAAGAATGTTGGCTTTTTAAATTCGGGGTATAACTTCAAAGCGAATGTCAGCATAGAACGAGTCGCCCAGAGTAGGTCACTTATGCGGATATTACGAGTAATATAAACTGTCAGGCATTTGTATGGTACACTTCTCGTTTTGTGTACTTGGCACAATTGTTGTATTTATAGTTTCATATTGTGGTCCTACTTCTTCTTTTGTACGAAATGTTAACTCAACATTGTTATGCAGTTTACAACGAATGTCACCGATCATTATTTTTTTTGGTTTTTATATTTTGACCTTCCTGTTTTTTGACTTGGAAATGTTACTCTATATGCAGTGTTTTCTTCTTATATCTTATCTTATCTTATCTTACATACATGTATTAGGATGTTGTATGTAGTACTAGTATTTATCGTTTCCACGGTCAGACCTTACTATCTGTTTCACTCGTATAGTGTTACACGTGTCATGGTTATCTCAATATGCAGTCTTAAATGGCGGATTTCTTCTTCCGTTTGGTATTTAAGCTTATCCTATATCACTACTCCTATGCACCACTCTAAAATATCTTTATGTTCAGAAAATGAAACGGCTCCGAGTCTCCTTTGATGCTAAATATACAATATTAAGAATATCACGAGACAACACTTTATTTTTTCAAAATGGAATTATTTTGTCCATGTTTATTTCATTTATGCACGAAATGTGTGATAATGTAGTATTGTGATGATAATATAGCAGGAAAACGTATGCATATCAGAGCGGACGTCAAGATTTATCCATATAAGAGTGGGTTCTACTCTAACATCGTTGTTGTCAAAATGATTCGTTTCAACTCTTAAAATAATTGTATGCAGTATTAATTTTAAAGTTAATTTAACAGTTCTGACCACACGGAAATGAAAGAATTATTTGACAACAGTTGTATATCCTCATATTTGTATATTACGGGGGAATATTTGTAGCAACATATTTGTTGATAAGTCAAAAAAAATAAAATAAAGGAAATGACGTCACGTCACGGTTTCTTGGTAGCACTCACTAATTATTCGTGACATATTAACTAAAAAAATGGAATTTCTGGGTTTCCCCGATTCTTCCCTACATTCCAGCGTATACTAACACAGGGAGCCCA